TGTCAAACATGATTTGTTCATCACCTAACTTATAAATTATTAACTAATTTATCAACTATCAACTAATTTATCAGCTACCAACTACTTGATCAGTTAGTTTAGTTTGCTAAAAGTAGCCTCAATTATAACTTACTTTAGTTATGGTTTTTCAATTGCAATTTTTTTTGTTTTCTAAAAATAAAAGCTATTTTTTTTTGTGTTGTCACAATACCACCTTTCACTTTAAAACATTGTACACTTATAATGTTTTTTTGTCCTTGTTTGTATTTATAAAATAGTTGTTGAATTTCTCTTTCAAATAAGTGCACAACAAATCATGGTGAGCCCAAAAGGTCCTTATTTGCATTACCTTTTATAAGATTTATTAGTTTTATTTTAAATTATAAAAATTAAAAATAAAATGCTATAAATTTAGATTATAAAAATATGATATTTAACTGAAATTGCCAAAAAGAAAAACATAACAATAAAACTGATATTTTGCTTGTCATGTTTTTGTTATTCTAACTCATAAAGCTATATAAACAAAATACACTGTTAAAGTTAAGTTTGATGTGTTTTTAATATATCTTTATTAACTGGTGTTGATATACGTACGTCTCATGGTCCATCAGTTTTAATAATATAGCTTTATTAACTATATTAATACATTTAATGAGATTTTATTTTATGTGTTTAAGCATTTATTTTTAATGTCTCTTGCTAATGGAAAGTGATTAAAGTATTATTTCTTTATTTTATATAGAGTTTTTAGCCATTGTTTGGTAAATATAAGTTATATTGTAAGTTGGCTTATATTTTGAGTACATGTTTGGATGGACATAAGCTAGCTTATAAGCTAAATTACTGAAACACTAGTTGAATTAGCGTTTTAGGAGTTCATTGTCATTGTTCGGATTATAACTCTCAGTAATACTAATTATTAATTATTACTATTAATAAATATATATTAGTTGTTATAAAATATGTACTGATATGAATAAATATTAATTATTAATTAATAGTGATTAATATTAATTAAAATTTATTAGCTAATTTTAGTTATATACTATACATTTTAATTAATAATGATTTAGAATAATTTTTAATCACATCAATTATTTTTATATTATTATTCAATATATTTAGTTATGAAAAAAGAAATATAATAATTCTAAAAGGGAGTCCAAAAAAAATCTCAATGAACTTCCATGTTTGAAATGATTAAGTTGTTCGATAATTTCTCTTGAATGAATAAGTTATTGGACTTTCTGAAACATGTTAAATAAATCCTTAAACTTTTAAAAGCTTGTTAAATACATTTTTATTACTTAAAAACGTAACAGGTAAAACTACAAATTGAAAAATCCTAAAAACTATCCTAAACGGAATATTCTGCCTCATTCAACATTCCCCGCACCATCGTTTCAATCTTGTCGCTCTACATCGCCAGTTCCCACCCTCAGTCTAGTCCTTTGTTGCCATCACCCTCAGCCTAGTCCTCCGTCGTCATCGTCGTCATCACCATCGTCCTCGCCCTAATCCTCCGTGGCACATGCAACTCCGTGCTTTGTTTCAAGTTCGAAGCTTCATTGTCGTTATGGTTTGTTTTAGAACCAAAACCTTTTTGTTTTTGTGTTTTTTTTTTATATCAGAAACTGATTGTGGGAACCAAAAAACCAAGAAACCCCCAAAACTGATTGTGTGAACCAAAACCTTAATCTAGACGCCTTTTTTCTTGGGTTGGGGGGTAACGAATCTATGCCTAGATCAATTGAAAGCAAAGATGGTTTTTTTTGGGGGGGGGGGGGGTTTGATTTTTGTAAGATTGAAAGTTATGATAAAGATGAAAATGGATTTGATAGGAAAAGGTTTGGTTTTTGTTAGAAAAGATCCATGTTTGACGAACTCGATGAACAATTGGTATGAAACTTAGATTCAGGCTCTTGGGTTGAGCGGGAAAGCCACAAGGTGGGCCTGAGTGGAAGGGATAGGTGTGGTTTTGTGTTGGTGGGTTCGGTTTGTGTGATGAGTCTGGGTCCGAATTTGAATCGGGAGGTTGACGAGGGGAAAAGGTGACTGGAGACGGGAAGGAGGATCGAAGAATACGAGGGGCACGTGACTGCATTAGCGGTCCCTTATAATGGCCTTTAGGCCCAGAGACTCAAATCAGAGCAAAATGCAAACCACAAAGGGAAACCATGTAATTAATGAAATTGAGGGACGATAACCAGAGTTTTGGTAAACCACATGGACGAAAAATGTAATTCACTCCTTTTTCTAATTTGTAGTTTATTTGCTATACAGGTTGCAAGTTATGTTTGTAAGTATTATTGATTGATTTAACAAATTTTAGAAACTCAAATGACTTGTTCATTCAAAAAATTGTCCAATAACTTAATCATTCAAAAAAGAAAGTCCATTGAGTTTTTTTTTTTGTCTTTTCCCATTCTAAAATTATTTAATACAATTTTATTATCTATGAAACAAAATAAGTATCATTTATAGAAACAAAACTATTTAGACCTTTTTATTACACAATCTCCAAACTTTATTATAAAAAAAAATTAAAGTTCAAAATTTTCAAAAAAAATATTTAACTTAATACCGAAGTCAGCTGAATTACGTGCCAGTGCTACTAATGTTAATACATAGTTGTGTAGTCAGTAAGAATGTAGTGAAGAAGAGCAATTCCGCTTGAAAAGTTCTTTCATCGAGTGCGATTTTCTATTTTGGATCAAAAAAATTTAAAAAAATAATATAAAAATTCATTCAATTGTAACATATTTTTTCTTTTTGAGATTTCACCATTAATTACATTTTATAATTTTAATAGATTTTTTATTAGTGAAAATATAATAAAAAATTATTTTCTTTCTCACGATAATCATGTTTGGAGAATTTTCCAAATTTGAAGAATTTCACACACTCTCTTTTACTTTTTGAATAAACTGTTAGAGCAAACTTTACCCAATATCTCCATTTTGGAGCATTGTGAAACATATAATATTTATATATGGTAAATACAACAAATAAATTTATATATCCTTTTTTACTTTTGGTAAGGCTTGAATCACAATCATCTAGGAGATTAAACGTTTGGATTCCACTAAGCCAAAGCTCATTTTTTAACTTTATATTTAATTTGTTCGAGTAAAACATATATTTTGGTACATTTGATAAACTAGCTGACAAGTCAACCGTCGGCTTATAAACTTATTAACCAACAACTAGTTTATCTGCTAGTTTGCCAAAAGTTCAAAGGGCCAAAATAATAAAAGATTGTAAAATACAAGGGCCGAAACAATAATAAATTGTAAATGGTAAGGATAAAAATTGCAACTAATTACAAACCATATGGACGAAAACTGCAATTTTTAAATCATCACAATAAAAATCATAATTTTTAACAAACTATAGATATGAAAAACGTAATTTACTCAACAATATATTATATACCATGTTATTAAAGTATCACAAATAAATCTAAAATAAAATTTATATATAAATATTTACAAATATAATAAAGAAATAATGTATGAACATTATAAATTATGCAAGACTATATTTGACAAACTAACTGATAAGTTAGTCGACAACTGATAAACTATCTGATAATTGATGAGTTAGTTGATGACTTATAAGTTAGTTGGTAGCTGAAGACCTAACTGATAGTTGATAAGCTAGCTGATGAACACATTATATTTGACAAAAACTAGCTTAAAAACATGTAAAATAACCAAAAAAGGACATCTTGAAAAAAATAGTCAATTCATTTGATAATATAATTCAAATAAATTTCTAATAATGTAATTAAAACAAATTTATAATAATGTAATATATTAATTAATACAAATAA